TGTTCCGGAAAGTCTGACACTTTTATATATATCTTAAATTAAAGCTAATGTAATATACTTTATCATGAAAAAAAAAAATTTCGGACTATGTTTTATCTTCAAGGAGAAAATGGCTACCAAATGCTATTATTGTGTGAAAATTCTCAATTTTATTTTTTACATTTTTAACATTATAATGCTATAACTTATTGAAAAGTGTATTGATCAATATAATTTTTTTATGGGAAATACTATTTTCTAATAATCTCTTTTTTATTCGACATACTTTGTCTTAATCAGGATATTAATAAGGAACTAGCAGTTTATGAAGCTTTTGGAATAATCCACCAATTTTTTAAAATTAAACACTATCTAAAGATTTGCATCGAAGCGTTTTTTTTTTATAGTGATTTTAATCACTGTCAGATATCATTATACTTGATCCAACTATGCCACGTCACCACTGTGCCGCGACCCCCCTGTGCTGGGTTTTTTATTATCAGATCTATATGAATGATTTTTTATAGTATATTATTGAACAATATTATTTTTTAATATCACAAAATAAAAATTGTATTAAATAGAATTACTTTCTGAATAGAATGATATAGGAAATTAGTATATTTATAATAAATTCTACTATTTTTTTAGCAAAGAAATCATAATAGTTTATGTTTTTACCAATTTAAAATGTTGAATCAATAAAACATCAAAACTTTAATATAAACGTAGAATTTAATGACACACACTTTTTAAATTTTTATTCATATTTTTAAATCGATCAGTGAAAAGAATAGACTAAGTTAAGATATGTTTAACGAAAAATATTTTCTTAAATATTAATTTGAAAAATTATCGAATATAAGTTTAATTCTACTATAAGACGATTTTTGGAAAAATGTCACTTAAAACAATAGTTTTTGTACTTATTTACAAGTGAATTAGTTTTTACTTAAAACCATTGGCTTGCAAAATATTTGATGGATACATTTAAAAGTATGTCAAATGTATAATTATAGTGGACTCACTACTCAATCACAATGATCCTTTAAGACATTTTTACTGAAGACAAAGTATATATTTTTATAAGTGGTTTTGATTTGTTAAAAACAATGGTATCCAAGCCGAGAATTCACCCGGATGAGTTTTATTGAAAGTTCATATTGTAAAGTAAATTAACTAACAAAATTATGTTTGATTTTTCAAAGTATTTCTATAGATCATTTCGATTTTTACCTTTCATTTAACATATTAGGAAATCATAATAATAAAATAAGACAATTGAAATAGCAGTCGAAAAAAATGACGGTTTCAATTTAATTTAAAAAAGAAATAAAATTGAAGTTTGGACTTCCAGTTTTTCTTTAGGTAAAATAATGAAATAAATCAATTACTTACGATTTATTTTTATTGTGCCGTCTGTGTCTCCTAGTGCGTTTCTAGACAGACACTTGTACGTACCGTAATCTTCAATTGTGACTGACTTTATAGTAAGAATCATTCTTGTTTTATATTGATCGGTAATATGCTCATCTGTTTCGTATTTTTCACCTATAATTAAAAATGTATTTTTTCTGTTACTTTTTCACACAATTTATTTTAATATTTTATTGTTTTTAACTTATTTACGTTTTCTATATCACAGTACACACTTAATCCAATAAATGATAACCAATTTATCATCATAATAAAAATGATTTTATCTTTATTAAAAAAAGTAAATTAACATTTTTTTTCTTGAAATTAATCAAAAATCATTTTTATTATTCGTATAAATAATAAGTTCAGAAAAATATCAAATGCAATGAACTATGATGTTTTTACGTGGCTTTAAAATCATGTAAAATAATAATAAGAAAATTGAAAAGACAAATAATTTGAATTATTCTCCACTATTGTTAAATATTTCATATGTCATTTGATTTTTCTAGCTGTAAGATTAAAATAAATTGATTTGTTGCTATTTGTTAAAATACTAATGAAATTTTTTTTTAATAGTTCCTTGATATTTGTAATTATTGTAATTAATTTTTTTGGCTTATTTAAAAAAAAATCTATTACAATTTGAAAATTTAATTATCATGCAACAAATTAATTAATTGATATTTAACGCACAATAAACTATTATTATTCGACATGTGTATTAACTCACATGATTTAATACGGTATTATTCATGATTATTTTTTATATCCATAATGATTTAAAAAAAAATACCGTTTAATTGACGCAATCATTTGACGTCTATATAATAGTAATAAGTGTTAATAATAACCAATTATATTATTTTACCCCGTTAAAAACAACAATAACTATTACATAACTATCAGCCGGAATTCACCCCTGTACCGCGGTCCACGTATAATATCAATTTGTTCCATTAGCAAATTAATAGAACTTCATGGCGGAATAGAATCTTGGTCACCCCATTAGTTGCGGCGGCAGGAGTGCTTACTCCCTTGTGTATACATTCCTGTTATAATTGCGGACCTGTTTTGATTTTTTCCCCCATTAACGCCAGAGGAGCATGTGCACAATGCACATTAACATTATTATTATAACATTGACCGAATACGAACAAAAAAAGCCGATTCCTCAACGCGTGCCTGTTGTGTCTGCTTTGTTGAAAAATACAATTTTGAGTCTACATATTCCCCCCGAGATTTCGTTAGGGATAAAAAAATAGAATTAACGTCACCCGGGTGGTGGCCGTATAATGAAAGGCCATAGCAAAAAAAAAAAAATTGGCGTTATTTGATGCCAACGTTGACGGTTCCTTTTTTTTTTTGTTCATTTGACAATAGTAGCGGTTTATATACGTGTGACATACGCGAACGACCGCCACAGCTTTACACCGAACACCGTTCTCGTTTATATTAAAACTTAATTTAATGTATTCTAGTTTTATTTTTTATTATTTTGCATAATTTTTTTTACGCCTGGTCGACTGGAACGACCAACTTAATCACCGTATGTGCGAAATTCGTTTGAATCCAGCCGCTCATAATATTTGTCCGCATTTTGTGTGTTAACGCGACGGTTTAACCATAATTATTATAATATAATAAAATCAATGACACACATTGTCAATCCGTTTACAATCGTTTGGGTCGGATGTCGTGAATATCAATAATTTTTTTTCACCAATGCGTTTTATTCGCTCTATTAACTTTAGATATTTTTTACACAACATATATTGCAGACGCAATTCATGTTCATATTTTTAGCTTTGGATTGGTAGGTATGATTGTTGAAGATATTCAAATGCTTTCCTTTTGGAAAAAAATTCTCTTATTCAAATAAATATTTATGTGAACTTTATTACATACATGGATCTGTATCAATTTGAACTGTTCTAATAACTTGAGAAATATTGAAATATACATAGTACCGTTTTATAAATAATCACAGCTATAGGCGATAAAAAAGTAATTTCGTCGCAATGATTCTAATATAATTAAAGTATGTAGTTAATTTACATTTCATTGGATATTAAAAAAAAGATTTTTAGCTTAATTGTTCAACTGTAAATTATATCAAATTGTGCAATAAAAATGAACATCGTCTATTGAAGTTTTTTAAGTGTACTCTACTCTCGATCACTTATTAAAAGCATAATTCTTGGATGTATCAAAAAATTTAAACGAAGCACATAGTGACACAATAGCTTAAGAGAGTGAAATTTTATACTAAGTTTAGATTTTTTTTTCATATACTATTAATAATAATTTAGTTTGCTCTTAACATAAAAATAAAGACTCTATTTTGAATACAATACCATGTTTTTAAAATATTTAGTGTACTTTTATAAATTTTAAATTGATAAATTTTGGACTAGACATAAGCTGTTTTGGAATTTCAATAGTTACAAGAGAACGTGTGGTTTTTCAATAAAAGTTATATAAAAAAATTTTTGATTCCTTCGTTATCTTGTTATTAAGTCTTTCTACATTAAAAATATTTTTCGTACTATCAGTAAAAAAAATTCAAAATTCAAATGGCCAAACCCTAAATTTCAAAAAACCAGCACAGTTTGAACATAATACAATGGGAACGTTGCATTGTTGGGACAAGTATAGATGATATCTGACAATGATTAAAATCACAATCTTAAAAATGGGATTCTATTCTTTAGATAATGTTTTAGTTTTAACAAGAATTGTTGGATAATTCTATATTTCTTATGAACACTTTAATTTCGAAAATTATTTTTAGAAAAAAGTATTTTACCTTATAAGTAATACAACAAAGTGTTATCGTACTAAAAAAATAAAACAAAAATAGTTTTTAGCAAATTTTATATTAAGCGTCTCTTTACAAGTTACAGAATTTATTGCTATTTATTAGAGAACATTATAAAACAAATAATTTTTTTTAAAAAGTTAAGATGTGTACTATGGTCTACGACTAAAACAAAAACAGTAAATATTTTATTTTGTATATATCTAGATTTTGTTTTTGTCTCTTAATTTGTTACTACTATATAATCAAAATAGTTGACCTCATTTTAAAATTAATAAAAAATCGAAATAAAATGATATTATACGAGTAAATAAAATTTTTAACAATTGATATATTGATATATTAATATACAATTGATATATTGGGTTAGTTAATATATTATTAAAAATCAATTTATTAAATGTCTACTATCATATAGTCAAGAAAGGACAACTTTCTCAAAATGTTCTTTTTTCCTTAATAATATACTCAATATTTTATTGTGATTTATTTTTATGCTGTATATTGTTTTTCATTTATTTATTTAATTTTTAATTCATAACCTAATACTGGAACCTTATCTAAACTATTAATTACTATTTATGAACTATTTTAAATTTATATTATTTTATTTGTTAAATTTATTAATAATAAATAATTATTAAGAAATTTAAACACAAAAATTTTTTTTTTAATTTAGGTAATAATGTATTTAAAAGAATTATAGCAAAATTTGGTCTAACTTATATATTTTTTAAAAATATCAATGAATAAAATAAGGTTAAGAAAAAGTTTAATAATTATTTTTTAAATATTAATCAAAATCGGTTTACATGGTAATTTTACATATTTTATTACATGAATATTTGAAATATATATATATGAGGAACACTCTTTTAAATCTATATGTGTAAATTGTATAATTTACTAATAACATTTTAACCATATAGTGTAACTGCATATTATTTTGTTATTTTCATAATCTAAATAATAATAAAAAAATTATCAAATAGATTACTTTAAAACCCTATAATAATTAATATTTAATAATTATAAAATCTATGGAAATGTCTTAGTATTTAAATTGTAGTCCCTGTTTATCATAGACCGTTTATTTTCTAATAAGATGTTATTAGCTATTTCTAGTATAGACGACCTATACAAATAAAAATGTAAAACCTAAAAACCATACACACATTCATAATTGGTGGGTACATATTAAAGTATTCTATAAAAACCCAAGAATGTATAATTTATTTGTAAAAACATATATATATGATTCATTATAAATTAAAAATCGATTGTTGACGAATAAGGTGACCTGTACAGTTTATATATATATATATATATATATTGTAACTTAACCTATATGAATAATTCGCTAAAATTCTAATATAATTCTTAGGTCATTTGTGTAAGAAGTATAAGTATAGATAATTTATAGTGGGATTTTTAATACATAATTCCACTCATTATATATTATTTTTAATCTAATTTGATTAAAAATAAACTTTTTTTTGTAATAGTTAGTAAAACTACCAAACTTTTTTTTTATTACACCCATGAAATGAATTTGTATTATTTTAGACAGTATGAAATAGTTTTGTATTTATTTTTTTTTCTATATATTTATTTGTATACAGGGTGGCCCACCACTCACTGACAACTTAAATAACTTTTGATCCAGTTAATATTTTTAGCTGATTTTTTTTTTAAATAATAGTTATACGTTAGGTCTATAGCTATATCTCAATAATTAATTTTTTTACATTTTATTAAAAATATTAATTATTTTTAAATTTTAAATAAAATGTAAAAAAAAAAATCTAAGATAGCTATTTTGTAGAGTAGAATTTAAGAAAAATTTTAGTAAAAAAATATCTTATTAATATTCAGTAGTAAATATTCTGTAGCGTTTTGAAGTTTGT